CAAATTGAAATCTTTCAACTAGTTGATGCGGCACTGGAGGCACTCACTCCAAGAAATCTGGAAGATAACTACCTGACCAAGTGATTGGAAGAAATCCATATTTGTTCCCATTCCAAAGAGAGGTGGTACAATAGAATGCAGAAACCATTAGACAATATCATTAATATCGCATGCAAATAAAATTTTGCTACAGATAATACAAAAATGGCTGCAACCATAAATTGACAGAGAACTGCAAGAGTTTCAAGCTGGATTCAGAAGAGGACATGAAACAAGGGATATCACTGCTATGTCAGATGGATCTTGGCTGAAAGCAGAGAATACCAGAAAGATGTTTACTTGTTCTTTATTGACTATACAAAGGTTTTTGTTTGTGTGAATCATGACAAGTTATAGTCAACAACGCAAAATGAGTGTTCCGCAACACATGATTGTGCTCATAAGGAACCTATACATAGACCAAGAGGCAGTTGTTTGAAAAGATCAAGAGAACACGGAATGGTTTAAAATTAGGAAAGGTGTGTGCGAGGGTTATAATTTCTACCATACTTATTCAATCTGTACACTAAACAAATATTCCGAGTAGGTGGATTATATGAAGAAAAAAATGGCATCAGGATTGGAGGAATATTCATTAACAACCTGCAGTACGCAGATGATACAACCTTACTTGCTGAAAGTGAAGAGGACTTAAAATATTTACTGAAGAAGATCAAAGGCTATGGACTTTAGTATGGGTTGTACCTCAATGTAAAGAAAACAAAAATCCTCACTACTGGACCAATAAACAACATCCACATAAATAGAGAAAAGATTGAAGCTGTCGAAGACTTCATTAGGCTAAGATCAACCATCAACACTCGTGGAAGTAGCAGTCAAGAAATCAGAAGGCATATTGCATTCGGCAAATCTGCTATACAATACTTCTTCAAAGTGCTGAATAACAAAGATGTCAGTTTGAATATTAAGGTGTGCCTGTCCCATGCCAGGGTATCTTTCAATAACCTCATGCGTGTGAAAGTTGGACAGTGAATGAGACACACCATAGAACTGATGCATTTGAGCTACGGTGTTGGAGAATACTAAAAGTACCATGGAATGCCAAAAGAACAAGCCAGTCTATCTTAGAAGAAGTACAGCTAGAATGCTTCTTGGAAGTTAGAATGGCCAGACTTGACTTCATCTCTCATACTTTGAACATATTATCAGGAGAGATCAGTCCCTGGAAAAGGATATCATGTTTGGCAAAGTGGAGAGTCAGAGAAAAAGAAGACCCCCAGTGAGATGGATTGGCACAGTGACAGCAGCAATGGGCTCAAACATAGCAATGATTGTGAGGTTGGTGTGGGACTCAGCAGTGTTTCGTTCTGTTGTGCATAGGGTCACTTTGAGTCGGTACCGACTCAAGAACTCAACTAAGTGCCTTTGGTGAGAGTGAGAAAGTAGAAGACACCATGCCTGTCCTCCAATGTAACCTCAGTTCCATGAGGCTGAGAAGAGGTAGATTTCAGAGCATACCAAACATGTGTAAAATCCATGTGATCTGACATCAGGCTTAGTGTGACGTCTAAGAAGCCATGTGGAGGCAGGGAGAAGTTGCATGCAGAGGCCAAAGGGGAAATGGAGGAAGAATCCCTTCAGCCATGGGGTAGTTGAATGTAATTTGTATTTTCTTACCATGTGGGTGATTTTTACTGGGCCCCTTTCTCCTGGGCTATCATTAAGACAATGCTCTCTGTACAAGCACACAAAGCTTGCACTCTATAACTAAAGGCTAAACAGAATTATACGGACTTGGGAAGTAATGGAGAAAAAGAGAGGACAAGGAAGTTGTGTGTAAAACATGGGACTTGAAAGATGAGCAGAGATGACAAGGAAAAGCAGCATTTCAGAAGCTATGGGATCTAAGAGCAGCAATCTGAAGCAAATGCTGTCAATTGAATATGTGTTAATAGGGGACCCTAAGGGAAGTCTTTGGGGGTCTGAACTCCTCAGCATCTATTACTTTACAAAGCAAGCCCTAAGTGTAAACCTATGCACTATGACCATATGCAGCAGTTGGTAGTTATAAATGATCTGTTTGAGATGTAAGCTGGTAAGTGGCTCTTAGCAATTAAATTTAAAAGATCTGGTGGGCTCTTTTTGCATGAACAGTCCAGCCCCTGAATGCCTGGCAACTTTTGCTAAGAGGTAGGAAGACACGCATTTCAAAACCAGCCTCCCTGCACTCTCCCCTAGGCAAGCTGAAAGGACACACACCAGGCCAAACCAGCTGCCAGAACTGCCATTCTCTCCATTCCCTGATGACAGATCAGATGCTGGGGACTGCAGGGACCTGACTGTTGTAGTCCCTGCCAGGATCCTTACTTTGTGGCCCTCATTCTTCCCTTTCCTGCTGCCCATCAGGTCTGGGGAGGACATAAAAACATATTAACACTTGATTCATTGTATTTTTCAAACTTCCTGTGTTTGAGTCCTCAGTATAATGGCCTACTCATTTAAAGGAAAAAGAATTTATTCTTGCTCCATCCTTGAAACTAGAAACCTAATTTTTAGATAGGCTCAGACATCACAGTGTTCTCTTACATGGAGTTCTGCTTAGACCAAGTACTTGGAAAGACACCCACAGTCTGAGTTGGTACTTTGGAAGAAACTGATTTGCTACCCCTGTCCTAGGGAAGAGAAACAAAACAAAATGCTAAGTGGGAGAAATGAGAAACCAGAAGAAGACCTCAAAATCCAGAACAGAAGGGAAGGCCTGATTCTGGAATTCTAAAGCCCTGGGTTTTCTTCAAATTACTTGGCTTCTGACATTCAGAGGCACTGCCCCAAGGCATGGACTGGGAAAACAATTTCCAACTTTGGCCGACTTACTGCCAGGTAGGATTCCCCAGCGTGTTTCGTAAGGAAGGAAATCTGTTACACCAAGATGGAGGGACAGAAATTGGAAGGGTGTGGTAGTCTTGAGGCCAGCCATGCTCTGTGTTCTCTCTTGAAAGCTGGAGTCACGACTGAGTGTGGGAAATGAGCACAGCCTGCCAGGGGCTGCCGCCTGATGTACAGAGGGGGCAGGACCCCGCATAGCTCCTAAAGAGAAGCAAAAATGTGCTCCCTCCAAAAATAAGCCGGGGGCAGATGACTGGGAGCACAGCTGGAAGCACATGATAGGTGGCTGCAAGCCGGAAAGACCAGCTTTCTACAAAAAGGAGCCTGTGAGCCGCAGAGCGCAGGACACTCAGGAAACAGCCTCTTTATATGGTCTCATCCGAATGGGCCAGAATTCAACTCACTGGAATTACCATGTCACAGGGAGCCTTCAGGGCTAGACTTGTTTCTGATCTTTATATGGTTCCCCCAGATTCTTAAGATGCCAAAATAGAAAAGATGCTTCAGTGCCAAAAAAGGAGTCTTTTGAGTTGAGAAACTTCTCACAGACACACAGCACCAAGGAGAAACCCCACAACAAGAATCACACCATGTGTGGATTCCCACCTCTACCCCAAGACTCCTAAATTCAAACTGCACCTGGTTTCAAAAAAGTCAGCCCAAATGCATCAATTGCCACTAGGGAGGGCATTTAGTTAAGCAAGATCCACAACAAACCTCACCTGCATGCATCTTCCAGTCTCTCTGGGCAATACAGTTCTCACCTGCAAACCTTCATTACTGGCTGAAAACAAACTCTTCCCCGTTTCTTTCCCTGGCAATCTGGAAGAAGGTCCAGGAGAGAAACGTGGGGGCACCGTGACAGCAGGTTCTCCATGCACAGTTCTGTCTCTGCCAATCACTTCCTTCAGAATTCAGCCTCAACCCTGAGTCTGAAAACCAATTCACTAAAAACCTGGGTTCTCCCATAGGGAATGTAAGGTCAGTGGAAGGTTACAGAGCATCCAAGCTTATAAGTGAATCCCATCCCTAAGACTAAACACATTTCTCCTTTCAAGTGAAAATGGATGTATCACAATGCAAAAAACTATTTTAAGTACAAGAAAGAAACCCTGGATGTCAATGAATGCCAAAGCATTAGGGGAAAGATAGATACATGGGGAGAACTGGAGATTCTAATGGGACCAAAGAATCCATAAGGACTTTGTATCTAGGGGAAATGTGTTTCCTTAGTAGTGGAGAGATCTACTACCACCCTAGCTCAGGGATCAAACTCAGCAGCACTCCTGATGGTGAGACATGGTGCACAAAGCACCAGCCAAGAAAAGTTCTCACTAAAATGTTCAACCTGAACCAAATCATATCTTCTGAAATGATTTCCAATTTATAAGAAATCAGTTAAATGACACTAGAAGAAAAGAATCAGACAAACCTAGACAGTGGGATACTGTATAAAACAACTAGCCTTCAAGGCAATCAATCAAGTTCCTTATGGCCAAACCCCCGCTTTAAGACTGAAACTCAAATGGAACACAAGAGCAGGCATGTAAGATTGCTGGCAACCACACTGGTCTAGATTAGTACAAGAGGGGGAAAGGAAGCAATGAAGAAATGGGCTGAGTTCAACCACATTCCACAGGCTCCTGTTGACCTGGAAATGAGAAAGAAGAGGAAGGGCTGGCTGGTCCAAAGTGTGGTGAGAACTGGAGACACCTGAGACAAGGACATAGCCACAGAGGGCTAGAGCTGAGAGTGAAGCATCCAGCTGATATGAAGTGAGGGGAGACACACAATAACGCCCAAATTTGCAGATAGTACCTATTTGACCTAGCCTTGATGGCTTGATAATCAGAACTTGACTAGAGGAAGATGCAAAGAACAGGACCCTACCCAGAGAAGCAGTGATGCCTGAGATGATGTGAGGCAGAGATGATGACATGGAAAGATGGAGCAGTTGGGGACTTTAGACAAAGAGAGGGAGAGGGGCTATGTATTGATGACTATGGGGCAGGCTTGTAGTGTATACCCTTTGGTTGGTTGATGATGCATGGAGGAAATTGTAACCATGGCAATGAAACGATATACGATAGGATGAATGTAAAACTAATGTTCTCCCATGTAAACTATCACATAATTCACAATAAAATATTAAAAAAAAAAAAAAAAAAGAGTATCGGGGGGAAGAAAGAGTCCCCATTGAATAGTTTTCATCTTGTCTAGATGGGTCTGGTGAAAAGAGATGGGGATAAGATTCGTGTGATTCAATAGTGAATAACTGTTATCATAATTGATTATGACTGTCACAACTGTAAAGATAGAAGTTTTGTAACAAAAACAGAGGAGTGGTTAATCTTACAGTCCAGAAACAGAGGACCCTAGGACCATCAAGGGAGAGGAGCAAAAGCAGAATGCAGGCCCTTATCCAGAGAAGCGGTGACACCAGAGAGATGGAGGCAGAGATGAGGTCATGGAGAGTGGTAGCAGCTGAGGACTCTAGATTCATGGGAAGAGAGGGACTAAGAGCCAGTGGCCAGGAGGCAGACTTGCAGAATGTGCCATTTGGAGGTATAAATTATTATATATGCCTGAGTGCTTTGGTTTTTGTTTTGTTTTTTTAAAGCTAAAGTGAATAGAGAGAAATAATGTTAGCTGATGGTACATGGAGGGGATTATAATAATTTTAATGAAACAAGGTATATGACTTGTTGAATGTAAAACTGATGATCTGCCCTGTAAACTTTCACTCAATCCACAATAAAAACCTTTAAAAAACATAAATTAAAGGATGAAAAAAAATATATACTAAACAATTTGCAATAAAAAACAAGAAGTGGCAATATTAATCTCAGATAAAATAAACTCTGAGGCAAAAACTAGCATAAGAGACAAAGAAGGACATTATCTCATGGTTAAAGGGTCACGTGAATAAGATGACATAACAATAATAAATACCTATGTTCCCAATGAAAGAGCCCCAAACTATATAAAGCAAACCCTAATAGAATTGAAAGGAGTTCTGGTAGTGTAGTGGTTACGAATTGGGCTGTGAACTGCAAGGTCAGCAGTTCGAAACTACCAGCGGTTCCGCGGGAGAAAGATGAAGCGTTCTGCTCCCGTAAAGATTTACAGCCTCGGAAACCCTGTGCAGGGTCGCTATGAGTCGGAACCGACTCCACGGCACTTAACAACAACAATAGAATTGAAGAAATAGACAAATTTATAATAATAATGGGAGATTTTAATACACTACTTTTGAAATGGGCAGAACACCAGAAAGAAACTCAACAGACACACAGAAGAACTAAACAACACATATCAACCAACTGGACCTCATAGATGTGTACAGAGCATTCAGCCCAACAACAGCACAATACACATTCTTTTCAGCACCCATGGAATATTCTCCAGAATAGACCATGTGTTGGACCACACAACATGCCTCCATAAAATTTAAAACATGACAATACTACAAAGCATCTTCTCAGATCACAATGCTATAAAATTAGAAATCAACAATAGGAAGAACAAGGAAATAAAATTAAATACATGGAAACTGAATTATAACCTGCTTAAAAGTTACTGGGAGGTAGCTGTTGTTGTTAAGTGCTGATGAATCAGTTCCAACCCACAGCAACCCTGCCAGAAGAAATAATAAAAACTAGAGCAGAAATAAATGAGATAGAAAACAGAAAAACTATAGAAAGAAAAAATAATCAACAAGACAATCTGGGTCTATGAAAATATTAATAAAATTGACACGCCATAGGCAAATCTAACAAGAGGGAGAAGACACAAATAACACTCATAAGAAACCACATGGTTGACATCACCATAGACCAGTGAAAATAAAAAGGATAATAACAGAGCACTATGAAGAGTTGTTGATCCAAAAAGAATGAAGTCCTTGGCAGCTTCAATCTTTTCTCTGTTGCTAAGAATGTTGTTTATTGGTCCAGTGGTGAGGATTTTTGTTTTCTTTACACTGACATGCAATCATACCCAAGGCTGTGCTCTTTGATCTTTATCAGTAAGTATTTTAAGTCCTCTTCACTTTCAACAAGCAAGGTTGTATCATCTGCATATTGCAGGTTGTTAATGAGTCTTCCTCCAATCCTGATGCCATGTTTTTCTTCATATAACCCACCCTCTCGTATTATTTGTTCAGCATACAGGTTGAATAAGTATGGTGAAAGAATACAACCTTGTCGCACACCTTTACTAATTTTAAACCATTCAGTGTTCCCATATTCTGTTCAAACAACTGCCTCTTGGTCCATGTACAGATTCCTCATGAGCACAAAGTAAGTGTTCAGCTTGTCATGATCCACACAACTGAAAGCCTTTGTGTAGTCAATAAAGCAGAGGTAAACATCTTTCAGATATTCTCTGCTTTCAGCCAAGATCCATCAGACATCAGCAATGATAACCCTCATTCTAAGGCCTCTTCTGAATCTGGCTTGAACCCCTGAAGTTCTCTGTCAATGTATGTTTGCAGTCATTTCTGTATTACCTTTAGTAAAACCTTACTCGCATGGAATA